GAGCGAGTGCTGCTAGTAACAAACCCAAACCTATATCATTTGTAAGTTCATTAGGCGTCTTGCTAACCAGAGAGTAATGGTTGCCAGAAAGGCATTCCATAACATTAGCTCTTATGAAATTGGCCTACCAGAAAACATCACCTTTGAACATATTGTAATTTACGATCACTAAACACCAAACCTTTAGGAGCTTCGTCATAGCGCCAACTACTTCAAACCTCAACATGGCTATAAATTTTGTTGGGCAAAAAATGCAGTTATCTTCTTTCGCAAGAATGAAACTTCACGACCAATCAAGCAAACTAACATTGAGAATTTAATGAAGCTTATTACGCAGAGCCAAGGTGCAGCTCACCAATCAAATGAGTAATTCATGAACTTTAATATTACAACTAACACTATCTCTATCTCGGACGGTCCTCCGAGTTATTTCTGCCATTTTTTGATTATCCATCTTCTAATCTTACCAATACAAACTGGATTCAATGGGTCCTGTGCACCGGAATCAGCAACAAATCCTTTTGCACATTCACACCTGTACGATCCAATGGTGTTATTGCAAACAGTATTGGCTCCACAAGTATCTGGAGACTGGCATTCATCTAAATCTACAAAAGTTAAAAAGAAGGGAAGAAGAAGAAGAGAAGAGAAGCCATCAATAACTGTGGTAAATGCACTGTCTTTAAAATATTAATAAATTACATGAACCAGAACGACAATATCATTGATATTATAGTGTCGGTAGTCACGCAGGTGAAGGATGTGGGGCAGCTTGATGCCATGAAGTAAGAATGTCGCAGGTGGCAAAACACTTTTCCCCAGCGATATGAACTTCGATTTCAAGTTTCAGGTACATTAATTTTTGCGATCGCGCATTTTGTGAATGAAATATATAGTAAGGGAGTGTAGCATAACTTTTGATCCTAGCAGCAGCTGCAAAACTATTCACAACTGATTAAGGGATCACTCCCGAAACGTTCATCTGAAACTGAACTTGGCACTTTTTACAAACCTTTTTTATCTTTACATAAAACGCAGCACAGCTTCTTCTTATATTTACGGATGCTGATGAATGCCTGTCCTCAGATACTTGTGGAGTCAATTCTGTTTGTAATAACACCGTTAGATCATACAGATGTGAATGTTTAACTGGATTTGTCGCTGACGGCAATCCACAGAACCCACCAAATTGAATTTATGTTGGTAAGAACTAAACAAATCCAAAACGTTAAGCCGATTAGTTCCAAAAGTATCTGTACTTGCTTCGTCAGTGGGAAAATGAAACACACAGTTTGGTTTTATAACCTTTGTTAATAATACGCCAACGTTACTTCATTGATTCAAAAGCCAGCTATTTAAGTGCTAGCTTTTCATGAAATTAAACGGAAGAATGTGAGTTGTATTTATTTTTGTATTTTTATCTAGCAGTGCGAACGAGGTTGCCCAAAATGGTTAAAAAGTCAAGAATGAGATAGCACCAGTTAATTTAAGAAACCTTTTTGAAGAAATATCAGATTTACACTCACTTTTACTGTATATGATTTACGTTTATGTGTGAAAGGTTTGAACCCAGGAGTCATTTCAAAAGGTTGAGTTTGATCGTCCGGGTAAACTTAGTCCTGAATAGGACTGTTGTTGATGACAGTGACTGACGTTTCGACAACCTGTGCGGTAGTCATCTTCAGAGTCAAATTGAGTTGTATCACGTCAGTTGATGGTATTATACTCTGGTTATTGATCTGATTGGTCTATTATGTCGCGATGATATTGGTCGTTTGTCAGTTAAGCCGTGATGTTATTGGCTATGAAGACTCGTAATCAGTGATTGGTGCGTTTCGATCCATCTATTGTCACAGTTAAACAGTCGTCTATTGTTAGTCAAATTATCAGTTCTCCAGTGGCTCTCTCGTAGTTAGTTTTGCTTGATCTCGTCAATAAGTCGTTTGTACGGCGCTGGTAACTGTTGGTTACGATTCAGTGGCGTTTGTTCTAAGTTAGTAAACCAGCTTTTTATTTATTTTATTTTTATTTTATTTGCCACACTAATTACAAAAAATATAGGAAAAGGAGAAGAAAAAAAAAAAAAAAGAAGTGGCGAGGAGACCTAACAGAAACTATAGGAGCTTATGAGAGGTTAGGCCTCCTCGAACTATGAGCTAGAGCTGTTTCACATCAATTGAAGAGAAGAAGGCGAAAAGTCGAAGATGGAAAGATTTATAAACTGTTTTCATACTTACTCAATAATTTAATCTTCAGTTTTTTCTTAAAAGAGGAGAGGGATTGAGAGTTGATGATCTTGTTGTCAAGTGAATTAAAAAACTTAGGCCCTTGAAAAAAGGGCGAGAACTTCTTCGTGTTTGTACGACAATACGGTAGACGGTAGGCCTGGGAATTTCTTGTATTGTAAGAGTGGAATTGATTGCTTTGAGAGAAATTGTTATTAAACTTTGGAGGTAAGAATGAATTTTTGCAAGAATACATAAATTGGCCCAGTTGAAGCAAATGGATATCATTAAATTTTAGTATACCGAGGTCCTTAAAGATGGGGTCAGTATGAGCATTAAAATGTGATTTATTAATAATTCTAATAATGCGCTTTTGCAGGATAACAAGGCGGCGGAGATTAGTTTTATAGGTCGAAGCCCAAACGATATTGCAGTAGTAAAAATAAGGATAAATTAAGGAATAGTAGAGCATACGTAAAGACGATTTAGGAAGAAAGAAGCTGCATCTAGATATTATACCGATTGACTTCGCAACTTTACTTGCAACGTGAGATATTTCCGACTTCCAATTTAGGTTTTCATCCAAAGTTACGCCTAGAAAATTTGTCTCCTTTACTTTAACAATATTTTGATTATCTATACTTATTTGAATATTACAAATTGAACGCTTTTGTCTTGGTTTGAAGACCATAAATTTAGTCTTTTTAAGATTTAGAGAAAGCTTGTTTGCTTTAAACCAGATTGACAGTTTGTCCATCTCCAAGTTTAACATATCTGAGAGATAGTTCAGATCTTTATGTGACATGAATACATTGGTATCGTCAGCGAACAATATCAGATTTCAATACCAACAATATCAGACTTTCTAAAGTAAGACGTTGATACTAGTCTGTAGAATACGTTATACATATCGCAGAGTCCCAGTCAATTTGATGTTTCGTCTTTAAATGGTACTCAGCAATGTGATTGTTGACGTCACCATTCCTCGTCGCGCGTTTGTGTTCGGTCAGTCGCGTGCTTAGGTTTCTACCGGTTTCACCAATGTAAGAAGCCTGGCAGCCGCAGCATTTGATCTTGTATACTGCTCCCTGTCTGTCCCCCGGTTTGTCTTTGTCCTTGACATTAGTAAGCAGTCGCCGTAAAGTGGTTATCGGTTTGTGCGCAACACGTATATTGTAAGGTTGTAATATACGTGCAATAGTTTCAGAGGTGCCTCTGATGTACGGTATAGTCGCTGTCGTAACAGGGCCAGAGTTGGTCTGAGAGTTGGAATCAGTGTTACTGTGAGTGTTCCGTCTAACAAAGTCCGTGTTGTAATTGTTCTTACTAAAAACGTTGTTAAGATAATCAGTCTCGTCTTGTAGGCTGTCAGGTGAGTCGCAAACTAGTTGCGCTCGTCTCGTCAGAGTCCGGATAGTAGTAGCCTTGTGAGAGGTCGGGTTGTACGAAGACTGGTCTAGTTATCGGTTGGTATGTGTCGGGTTTTTTTTATTATTTACGTTTATGTTAATCCGATATGGAGTGCGGCTATGAAGTGTCAGTTACCAGGAAGTATCTTGCAACTAGTGGTAGGAAATCTTGACCCACCCCCGAACGAAGCGCGTAATCTACCAGATTACTCGGGGCTGGAAGAAGTAGAACTGTGCAAATTTGTACTCAATGTAATGATAGGTCGCTGTTATTCTTTCCAGACCTTCATCCCCGTTAAGCAAACTGCAGCCTCTTCCTACATTAACGCAGTAGGGAGAGCGGTAGAAATCCAGGGCCCAGTTCTTCGAAGGGCGATTAAATTTAAATTGGGGTTTCTTTTTCTTTTGTTTAAAAACATTTTCTTAGAAAAATTTCTATATTCTCTTTAGAGCATCTAGAGTCATCAAATTGTAGGCAAAAGAACTAAATTGAATTTGCTTAAGCTTTCAAATCTGAAATAAAATTTCGCACCGACGAGCTCGGGGTTATCTAAACTCAGGTTTGAATAAACTGGCTTAGAACATTATAAAAAATCACCATTTAAGTCGGCATTCTTCATCCACACGCTATGAATAAATATTTTCATTCAACTAAACTATTTTAGGCAACCTTGTTCCCACTAACCGCGGGAACCACCACTGCTAGATAAAAACAAAAACAAATAAAAATACAACTCACATTCTTTCGTTAAATTTCCTGAAAAGCTAGCACGTAAATAGCTGGCTTTTGAATCAATGAATTAACGGTGGCGTATTATTAACAAAGGTTATAAACCCGAACTGTGTGTTTCATTTTCCCACTGACGAAGCACGTTTCGGATTTTGTTAGTTCTTACCAACACAAATTCGATTTGGCGGGATCTGTGGACTGTAGTCAGCGACAAATAATCCAGTTAAACACTCACACCTGTATGATCCAACGGTGTTATTACGAACAGAATTGGCTCCACAAGAGTCCGAGGACAGGCATTCATCAACATCTGTAAATAAATGAGGATGTTGTGCTGTGTTTGATGTAAAGTTCTCAAACTCATTAATTATTCATGCGCTGATGACCGAATCAGCTTGCATCAATTGAGTCAGGTGCATGTATTTTGATACCCAATGAACATACCGATCAAGACACATTCCATTAGTTCATAAAACTTATCAAGACACTGATCAAGAAACTTGAATTTTAATCAGTCTTAATACTAAATACAGTACATTTGCCGCTTCAATCATTACTTACAACAACAATAGGGCAACATATTATTCTTTTAACTTTTCCGTTGTAAAAATAGATCGTGTTCAATAACGACTTAGCTCATGTAGTTCCCAGCAATTTCTTCTCCCAGAATGTTGCTTCTTCTTGCTCGCTCACAAACTGACCTTCTCCTCCTTCTTACACTTAACGTGAAGCCCTTCTCAAACGCCATCCTTCATCTCGGCATCTAAGCAACGTCGGAACAGGACAAACCTTCGAAAAACAGCACACCAAATTCAATTCCCAGAGCAGCGCATTTTAAAATTCTGAACAATGCGGTCTAGAAGTTGTCAATTACCTTTCGTCACTAGCGTCCAGAGGATTCAAAGCTTCGGATCCATTTTTCTCCTCCAAATAACGCTTGAGCGCACAAATGATACCATAAACAGTCTTGGGAGGGTATCTTCCACCGGCTTTTTAGCTACCTCCATCACGAATTTTGACAACCAATAGTTCAGCGACAGAGCATCCATTCCACTCATTGCACTCAGAGCGGTAACCTTGTGTAAATCGTAGTCCTTGAAGAGACCACCACAATCTAATGCCGGAACTTGAACCTCTCTTAACTTATGCCATTTGGCAAAACTGCTCACAACCCACTTGTTTTTATACTTAGTTGAAGCTGGAACGGCGTCATTCACCAGAACATTTTCTTGAAAAGAAGCTTTAGGGACGCGAAATCGTTCTCATCCGGACTCGACCTCCATCACGCGCCGTAATGTTAATCTACTAAAAAACCCGCCAGCATGGCCGCATATTAAATATTTATTTCATTTACCACGAATAAGAAACAAACAATAGCCTATTGAGCACGTCCTCTAATTACCTATTCTTCGGAAATAATTCCGCCTTCGGCGTCGTGCTTTCATCCTTTTCTCGGTGTTTGGAACCCCTGATGAAAACCTCGCACTCTTTTTTGATCTATTACATAAAAAACCGTTTTTAAAAAGTGTCAAATTCAGTTTCATTTGAACGTTTCGGGAGTGACCCCTCAATCAGTTGTGAATAGTGTTACAGCTGCTGCCATATCGCTGGGAAAAAGTGTTTTGCCACCTGCGACATTCTTACTTCATGGCATCAAGCTGGCCCACATCCTTCACTTGCGTGATAACCGACACTATAATATCAATGATATTGTCGTTCTGGTTTAGGAGACTTATTAATTTTTTGAAGACAGTGCATTTACTGCAGTTATAGGGATGCAAATCTAAACTAGGTATGAGAAAGGGTTACCATTTTTCAATTAAAGGTATTCTTAAGGGGTACCTTCTCAGACAAAAATGGTCTGTAAAAGGGTAGGGAGTTGGACCTTGGGACGGCGCCTCATAGTTGAAAACTTGGTTGAGTACCCCTCGGCTTATAGAGCGATTTTTGTATGACCTTGACATGAAAACGCGCTAACAAAACAGGAACCACAAACGAACAGAAATAGAGCGATTTGATTGGCTTATCGAACGGATACAAACGCGCGTGGATTTTGGTTGGTTAAACGAACGCTGAGGTGAAAAAACGTCATCCCCGAGACCTTTCTAAAAATCAACCGATACTTCGCTTTGACGTCATACTGTAACACGATTGGCCAATCGAACAATGCCTTCTCCATATTAGGATTTTCTTTGGCGGGAAAACGAAGAGGCCATGTTTTTATAAAACAAATAACGAACACTTACCGAAACCACTTTTCAAGGTCATACAAAAATTGCTCTATCTACAGATTTCACTTTGTGACTTTTTTTGGAATGTGGGCAAGAATCCTGATGTAAACTTTCGAACTGTCCTCTCTTTCTGCCATTTTTTGATTATCCATCTTCTTACCGATACAAACTGGATTCAATGGGTCCTGTGCACCGGAATCAGCAACAAATCCATTTGCACATTCACACCTGTACGATCCAATGGTGTTATTACAAAAATCATTGGCTCCACAAGCATCTGGAGACTGGCATTCATCTAAATCTACAAAAGTTAAAAAGAACATGCATTCTTCATGAAATGAAGAGAAGCTATCAAAACGTTTCGTCTCATGCCTTGTTTTAGGGGGTGGTCGCAATCATTTCAGCCGATTTATGAAATCTGCAGCCTCCATGTACATCAAGAAATCCGTAAAATCTAAAAAATTACAGACCACCTGTAAAAACGGCACTTTTAATTAATTCCCACATAATCAATGGACGCCTGACCAAGTTTCCACTTAAGAGTAGCATACTCCACCATTATATAGTGAACAAACCAGACAAAATCACAGTCTTTCCTTGGCCTTCTGTATTGAGAACTAAACCTAAAAACAAGCTTTTTGGCCTCTTTACACGGCGGTTAACTCACTTTCTTAACACAGTTTATTTAATTCTTACCAACACAAACAGGACTGAGTGTGTTCTGTGAGCTGCATTTAGCAACAAATCCAGTGGAACATTCACATCTGTATGATCCGATGGTGTTATTACAAACATAATTTACTCCACAAGCATTTGGGATTTGACACTCATCAAAATCTGTAGAAATAACCAAGAATTTGTTTGTATCTTGTGTTTGTTGTCAGTTTTTATATTTGAGTGCTTGACCTGATTTCAAACGCCCTCCTCAATCAATAAATGTTAACAAACTACCGTTTTAGAAACACGTCTTGTGAAACGTTTTAGATCTCAGCGTGGTCAGACAAGTTTGCTTTAATTTTCCTAATCGAAATGTGGTTGTTTGTTATATACGACTCGTTTTAAGACATTTACATTAATTTGTTGTTGACTACGTAAGCTATTTGAGTAAGAATGTCATTTACTTCGGCCCAAAGACTAGTCATGATGTTGCATTCCGCTGTGACATTTTCTCAAGGTGTCTTTGGAATATGGAAAAGAATACTCGTGTCAAAATTTCGACCTATTTTCTCATGTCTTTATAACAGAATTCTACCATTTACAGATATCCTCCACTTCTTACCGACACAAACTGGATTCAGTGGGTCCTGTGCACCAGAATCAACAACAAATCCGTTTAAACATTCACACCTGTACGATCCAACGGTGTTATTGCAAACGCGATTGTCTCCACAGGCATCTGGGGATTCGCATTCGTCTAAATCTACGAATTGTGAAGGTTAAAAGACAAATTCTACAACGATTCAGCACTGCACAATTGCTTAAGATACCACCAAAGAAATCTAATGAAAACAAGTAGAAAATCACTCGGTGAACAGTAACCTTACAACGCGGTAGAAAAACAAATGGAGTGAAGTAAAGAATTTCAATGAATTTATAGAATGACCGAGATATACAATATTCTAAAGTTCTTAGTAACCAAAATCAACAATCAATGCTCTCAATCAATGAAATAAGGGGAAGGAAGGTTTAGGGGATGAAGTGCTCTCGAAAAATTATAAACTCACACAGAAAAGGTGGTTAACAACAGAACGACCTCTGTCCTTTTCGGTAACTGGAATCATAACCCCCCAGCTACTTATATTATATAAGTCACTATAATAACCCTTCATTCCTTATGGCCAGGCCACAGTGAGGCCTTAATCCTACTATAGAGTCCCTGTTCCCAAGCCACTGAAAGGTCGTAAGTCTCTCCAGGGATCTGATCACTGATTCACTGTTACCACGGTAATACGACTATATGCTGAGGCCTAGGAACCAGTCTAACAAAACCCGGGTAACAAAATAACAGATCAAGTGAGTCATCTATGGCGTCAAAGAGGGACCTGTATGGAACAACCCATCCCCTTCCAAATTCTCCACATGGATTGTCCAACAAACGCCTAACTCAACTGGCGAAAGTTTTTAACACAAAATATGTTTGTTCCTTTTTCCTACGGACTCAGGACCATAATTTTTAGGAAATACCGTAATCTGCCGGTTATTAGCCCTGGGCTTGTACATCTTCGTAATAATAATAACATTTACTTTTATAGCGACACTTCCATTGCTGTCTAATGGGGCTTTACAACTACAATTAATTTTTTTACAAAAATAGATTTAAAAAAAATAATTAACAATTCATAAATGAGGCTGAGTATATTATGAAGAATTATGGAGGTCGAGGAGGGTGTTATCCGTCGAGGCCGTAGGCCGAGGCGGATAACACCCTCCGAGATCTCCATAATTCTTCATATGATACGAAAGCCGAATTCAATAATTGTTTATTCATTCAAAATAATTCCTAGTTTAAAAACATGCCTAAAACATGCTTACCTCCATCGATCCATCGATGTTAAGTTCATCTTTGATAGTGCACGTTAAGGTTTGTTCAGCTCCGCAAATATTCTCCAAATAGCGGATGTCGCCCTTCGAGTTGTCTTCTTGCTGTTCTTGCCATGTTTTAGCTATTTTTTCGCACAGTTCTTACTCTTGAAACGAGTGAAATGACCGCCATTTTTGTTTCCACAACCAAAACAACTCAACCTCGTCCCCAGGTCTTCTCGGTTAACGGTGCCTTAACCTGCACGAACGCTGCATTTTTGACGTCATTTCCTCGTTAAACACAAAATTCTTTCAAATTTGGTCATCAGTAACTGGTTATGGTGAATTAAACGTGTGCTTTTAGCCAATCAGAATCGGGGAAATATTTTGAATGAATAATAATTAATAATAATGCACTGTTTAAAAATTTAAAAATCAAGCTATCCGTTGTTAGTAAAATCCAACTAGTGGTCTGTTATCAACGCTGCGTTCTGATTGGTTGAGCTACTACTAGGCTATATGTTAAAGCCCACTAGTAGCGGAAAGAACCGGCTTTGAAAACCAAAACAAAGGCGGCTGAATGGCGTTTTGCTAGCTAAAGTTGTTTTGACTCGATATTTACTAAAATAATTGTTCCTCGAACCCGAATGGGCTTTGAGTCAATAGCCCATGAGGCCGAAGGCCGAATAAAAATGTGAATAAAATGAAATAAAAAGAAAATGTAGGAAATATGTTTCTTGGATGATCATAAATTAAAAGCCTTCTTAGAAAGATAAGATTTAACTAAACGTTTAAATTGGTTAAGACAACCGCGGCACCTTATATTCTAGAGCAATTCGTTCCACAGAGCAGGGGCTGCGAATGAGAAGGCTCTGTAACCATACGCTTTTAGAGGGGTTTTATGAGGGAGTATAAGTGGAGAGGTTACTATCTGAAGGGGACTTGTAACCGAAATAGAAAAAGGGCTTAGAAACAAGCTATAACAATGCGAGTCAAAATATGTTTTCTATTCACCGGTTTTTAAATTAAGCTCCAAACTGTCAGAATAAATCGAATTTATTTCAATACATTCAGAAGGGGCCTTATATCTGGGAGGCTTATATATATATATAATTGGATGTATTTTTTTCGTTTACGAGTAGATGAGCCCATCAGTTGGAGAGCTTATTAGTGGGAGAGGGTTGATAATCCGCAGTTTAAGTCCATAACTTCTTGGGATAACTTAATGTCTTACCAACACAAACTGGATTTAGTGGGTTCTCTGGACCGCAGTTGACAACAAATCCAGCTGAACATTCACATCTATACGATCCAATGGTGTTGTTACAAACAGAATTGGAAGTACACGCATCTAGAGTTAGGCATTCATCGACATCTGCAGGTGTTAAGTAGAAAATTCTCTATATAAAAGGCAGAAATGCTATTTAACAATTATTCCACAAGTGCGCGCTGGATATGAGTTGGCCGTAATCATCTCATATAGCGCGAGTGGAATAACTGTTTGATTAAAAAAGCCCGAAAAATATCGAGAATTCTTCCCGACTTTATTTGTAAAAACAACCGATTTTCAGCTCGTTTTTAATTTTGAGCAGACTCGTACAATTACCATATTTGGAGAGCATGGTAACGGCTCGTATACCATGATGGCTAAGCCAATCAGAGCTCTAGAATTGCATTATCCAATGATTCAGTTTACACTAGAGCAATAGAGCAATACCACCACATATGTGTTGAAATAGATTCCAATCAATTTGTGTAGGCCAGTGAGCCTAAGGGTGATGGAGTCATATTTTTCTCAAAATTCTGGGGCAAAATGGACAAGATGCCTGATGCAAGACTTTTGAATTGTTTTCTTTTGTCTTTATGTATAGTAGGCTTACACTTCTAGTTTACTCTTCTTCTTACCGATACAAACAGGATTCAGTGGGTCCTGTACACCAGAATCAGCACCAAATCCGTTTGAACATTCACACCTGTACGACCCAACGGTGTTATTACAGACATGATTGGCTCCACAAGCATCTATGGACTGGCATTCGTCTAAATCTAAAAAGATTACAAAGAAAATTGTGCGTGACGTAGGAAGAAGCTATTGTTTATGGAGCTGTAAATCGTGCGTATCACACGACACATTCTGTATTTTTTAAAAACCTTATGATAATAATAATAATAATAATTATTATTATTATAAGGTTTTAATAATAATTATAGTTATTATTATTATTATTATTATAAGGTTTTAATAATAATAATAATAATTATTATTATTATTATTATTATCACCATAATATTCAAATTTATCCAACGAGAGTAACATTTGACAGTATTTCAACTGAAGAAATAGTTGCGCTCATGATAATATTTCAATTCCCTCCCCAAAAAGCTAGACACAAACCGTCGGCTTTTGAATCTCTTTACATGCAGCTAGCTAACTGTTGCATAAACAACAAAGTTTATAAGACCATTACAAAAAAAAAAGTATGTCTCGCACTGGAACCGGAACCAAAGTTTCATAAGAAACTAACACTAATCTTTTTTCTCCTCCAGATTACACCGCACGGTCTTACCGACGCAAACTGGACTTAGCGGGTTCTGTGAACTGCAGTTAGCCACAAATCCAGTGGGACATTCACATCTGTACGATCCGACGGTGTTATTACAGACATAGTTGGCTCTACAAGCATCTAAGGACTGGCATTCATCAACATCTACAAAAATGACAGATGATTAATAATCGGCCCTAAGACTGTTTTCTCCACTTTCATAATATTTTGAACGAATACTTTACCAGCAAAGAAACAAGCTAGAGTCCACATTGCACCAAAATGGAAAATCGCAAAGATTTTATTCAAGAACCCCGTAAACATATAGGTTAATCGATCCTCCATTATCTTTGATTCCAGGGGTTTTGTTTCAGGCCGAACGCAACGTCTGATTGTTTAACATGTAACGTCTGGTAGTTCTCACACGAAATAATAACCCGAGGAAGGATGCCCGCGGACGCCCCCCTCCCCCCTCCCCTAGACGTTTGTACCTCAAGCACTCCACGTTCGCGTTCCTGCGGCACGAATGGTGCAAGCCCACCAGCTGAACCTCTGCATCCGATACTTCCAAATGCTCCGAAAACCATGTTTAAATCTACCATGCAAAACTTCGGTGGAAACTGCATATTGCACTGATGAACTATAACTAAGTAACGATAAAAATGTTTCTTTGGAACTCATAGGTTCAAGAAATGCATTATACTTTGCAATGGTAGTTAAGTATAAGGCATACCAAACCATATTTCAAATTTATGAGTCAAATTACATTTTCACCGACCAAACATAAACAACAATGTCTTTAATGGTAACAATGTCGATGATTACACTCAATGTCAAGGATT